GCATTATAATATAAGTTCGACGAGAGAAATAATTTTTGGACTGACGATGGCGGGTTGCTCCCCTGCCTGACATAAAACTCCTTTATCGCAATTAGTTAATGACTAGGGTGGCCCGCGTGCTCCGCAACGCGAAAAGGGGCATTTACGATCGGCGGGTGTTTGGTTTTCTTGTGTCGGTTGGGTTAGCTATCCATTTCGGTCGATTGCTTTTTGACGGCTAAACGTTTTGGTTTGTGGAAAAAATATCCACCGCATCGAGGTGCCCGTGTCTGATAAGCATGCTTTCCACTTCAGAATCTGTCAAATGTGTTTCATAATTGAGGTGCGTAGTTTTAAGACAAATGAAAGGCGTAGATAATTTTCGCTAAAAACCGTTTTGCAGAGGTTTGAAACATTTATATTTTTTAGAATACTGTTGCTTGTTATGCAAACGTGATGATTGGATCTTGGAGAGAATTGAATGCTCTTTCTAATGATAGCATTTTCAATTGTCAAGCGTATCAGGTTAAGCAGCTAATCCCGTGTAACTTTTTAGTGGCACATTATGGACAAATACCATTTAATTCAGCGATTTTTTCCACATTGTTTTTGATCAATTAGCTGTTCACAATTTTTCCATGAGAGACGGTACAATTTTATTGCTAAAAGGCGCTGTTTCAACTCATTCCGTCTGACGATCACCTGAAATTAATATAAATTCCAAAATCCGTCAAAAACGTTCATTTTTCAAAAGAAAGTGTCCTCCCCGGTGCACGTGGCGCGTGCCAACCCCTGCACCGCACACCATTCGATAGCCCGTTCGATTCTCTACACGATGCTGTTTTCCCCGTACCGGTCGGGCCCACGGTTACCGAGATATTGCACCGGGACCGGACCCGTGTCGGGCAAATTTGGCTGTTTTCACCCGTTTTTGCCAGCCGATTAATACATGTAAAGTCTATGACGCGAATTTGCACTTTTTGGGCACGCGCCACGCGCTCGCTATCGATCCGATCGAGCTGAGACCCATCAAAGGCACGTTGTCCATCCTTGTTCTATGAGTTGCGCAAACTTCAGCGCGTTAGGTGCAACGGTGTGACCTGTAACCCGCGCTACGTAGCACCATGTCGCGACCTTCGTAATAGACAGAAACTACGTCACCACAAATAGTCCAGAATTGGAGGATCAAAAGCATGCGATAGCATGCTTTTGCATCCGGAAATTCCCATTGGTGGGTCGCTGAAAAAAAGTTCGGCTGAACCTGTTTGTCAGTGAGTATGTGAGTATGTGAGTGAGTTTGTCCAAGCTTTTTTAGACCGGGAGTCAAAATGGGTGGACCGATCGGGACGAAAGTGGGACCGTTTGATTCGTCTCCGGCGAGGTAAACTTTTGGTGCTGGCCTCGGTTCGCTCGGTGCTTCGTGGCACATGCTATTCCGCTTCAAAGTTTCGGTGACACGAAATTTTTTGTCAAGGCTACAGGTCAACCCGAGGTCACGGGCAAAGCCATACTGGCGGGACACATCGGTAACACCTTGAACCAGTTTCCAGGGGGGTCACCGTCTGCGAGGGGTGCAGGCTGCACGTGCTGGGGTCATAAAACCGTTTTGACGTGAGGTCCTCTGGCTCAAAGAAATTTTAAGCTATCAACCTCAAAATCGGTTCAATGGTAGTCCCAGGCAAGGCCTCCAAAATAATGCACATTTGGTTGAGCTAAACTCTGTGGTGCATGAGCTATGCACGTGCAAGCCGATTGCACCCCTTCGTACGTTGCCACGCCTGCAGGGTAAACGGCAGCTCTAACTGGTTCAAAACTTGCAGGTCATAAGAAGAATACATTTGATCACGACATTCCGGCGAGATAATAATATCCGAGGGGTGCAAGCTGCGCGTGCGGGGGCGGATAACGGTTTTGACGATGGATCCTCTGATCCCGGGAAACGTCGAGCTAGCGACACAAAAGTCGGTGCACTGATAGAACTAGACACACGCTTAAGGATGTTATGAAAATGCCTGCACTGTGGTGCCTGGGACATGAACTATGCACGTGCAGTTAATTCATATCTTACTGTAGGTAGATCTCCACATGAATCTCACGTGCTTTCAAGCATTTCATGGATGTTTCAGTTGGTTTTGCAGTCCATACTCAGTTCCATTCCTCCAATTCTGGCCCAAGGCAACGCACGAGCGCTGCCGGCATCTAATAATACGAGGGCAGCGCTTTTCGAGGAGCGCTGTGGCCCGAAGGTTTGAACTTTGAATTGTGAAAAACGCCCGCCCGCCGCAAAACGCAAACACCGCAAAACGCGCAAAACGCACGCCCGAAACGCCAACGCAAAGGTCACAAAAAAATAAACAAACGCCCGCCCGCCGCAAACCGCAAATAAAAAAACGCAAAAACGCCGCAAAACAATAAAACCGCCCGCATCGCACGCCCGCTAACCGCCAACCGAAAACGCATTAAAATCGCCCGCCCGCCGCCAAAAAAAAAGCACACCGCAAAAAAACGAAAAAGCGGCCGCCAACCGCAAACAAATTTAACACCGCAAACGACGCAAAAAAAGAAAACCACCCGCATCGCCCGCCCGCCCGCCCGCCGCCAAAGACAAACACCGCAAAAACACAAAACGCCCGCCCGCCGCAAAACGTAAACACCGCAAGACGTGTAAAACGCACGCCCGAAAAGCCAACGCAAACGGCAAAAAAAAAATCGCCCGACCGCCGCAAACCACACAGAAAAAAACGCCGAAACGCCGAAAAAAATAAAACCGCACGCACCGCACAGACGCTAACTGCTAACCGAAAACGGCTAAAAGTCGCCCGCCAGCCGCCAAACGCAAACACCGTAAATAAGCGCCCGGCCGCAGCAAGATAATAATTTATCAACGACTGGCATACCGCTAGGCTGGTCATTTTCACAAATCAAAAAGATATCTGCAAAAATCTCCTAGATGAAAGCGCCCGAGTAAAAAACGGATGGCACGTGCGTGTTCCTCGCCCCCAACTTCCTTCAGGTCAATCGTCATTTGGGTCACCTAACGCATTGACGACCGGCTGGGTGGAATGAACATTGCGCCAAGAAACGTAAGTATATTGTCAAAAAGAATCCCCAGAATGGTGGATCCCAAAAGTTTGAAACTACCATTTCGGCCCACTGGACGACACCTTAAACAGTTGCCGACCGGATGACACCCATTGTTTGGTCACCCACGCCATAGTATGCATCATGGGTGCGCCGAAATGACCAAAAGTCCCAATTTTCGGTGTGCAGGGTCATTTTCAACGGCACGTGGCACGTGGTTCTGGACTTTTCCGGCCACTTTGCGACATACCCATGGGTAGTGCACCGAATGGTGGTTGATCTGCATGAAAGAAAATGGGGGGTCGTTTGGATCGTTTTCGAGCAATCTGCCGTGGAACGCATTTTTTCATTTTGCCCATTGGCTTAACACGGGAATTTTCAAAGTCACGTGGCACGTGCACCAGATGGTCCGCGGAGGGGAGACCCATACCAGAACGTAGATCACCTGGCCCAATAGAAATCCTGAAAAATCAGAATTTTTGGAGCAGCCGTTTTCAAGAGCATCAAGTTGTACTGATCTCAGGCAGCTTTTGCCAAATTGTCAGGGAACTCAGATTTGTTTTTCAATAGAAAAACACAATTCTAAAGAATAGTGTTTTAACTATTGACAACAAACCTGCGGTTATAGATGCATTCATACTGTCGAGATACAATAGCTACACCATTATTCTATTTGCGCCCCCCTGGCGCAATTGCCATGGGCGCAATTAAAATTGAGATACTTTTGATGGCGTAATGAGCCTTGCTGATTGGCTTCATCGGAGAGCTTGGGCCATAAAAGGAACTATCCAGTGGTGAAAATAATGTTTTCGAAAACAAAATACTGAACATGCCATTGAATTCGTGGGAATGTGGGTGGGCGCAATTAGTTAGGAGGGCGCAATACACCCACTTTCCCCTACCCATGTGCAGTACTTGCACATATTTATGTAGCAAAGTGCTGATGTCAAAGTACAAAGGGAAGGTGCAGCGGTTAAGAACAACTACAGGCCAGAAGATCTATTCACGTTTTTGTGACTGCTCTGCTATTCATGAAACTCTATATAATTTCATTATTCCAGAAAACATCAACACGCTTTGTCTGGTATTTGATAACATTTGTAATTCCGACATTTGTAAAAGCCAGTTTGTAACCAACATTTGTTTAGTTGTAGGTAAACATGGCCGAAAATAACGACCATTGGACAGGTTGTTTTCATAATGACCTTTCATGACACTTCAACACCGACTTCCGTTCGTCATTACGTGGGCTCATGAGCTGAGTAGGTTTTGGTTCGAGCCAAAGACTGCGCCGATCAGATCCACATTCGGAATGCATTTCTATAGGAACCCAGCTTGATGATTGACGCCAAATGGGAGAGATGTTATTCTCATTTACCTGGCGTGCACGTCACTCCACCACAACGTCTTGGGAACGACTGGCAAGAAGCAGGGACACTTTCTATTTGATCGCCAGACGTGACTCCAATGCCATTCTTATTTCTTATATACAGACAGCACCGATAGCGGATAACAATAAACTTTATACCGGAACCAAACGAGTGTTGATTCCTAGCTGAAGTCACTGATGAAACGGAATCACTCATCGCGTCATCTTGGAATTTGACTTTACACGGCGCATCAACCGTGTAAAGTCAAATCGCGAAACGGTCAACCATACGACCGTTTCGCGTCATGAACTCGTGGATTAGACTGGTTACTGAATACTGATGTTTACCAAGTGGTTTATTATTAGGTTTACCAAGTGACATTTACCAGGATCTTGGTTGTCTTGCTAGGTAATTCATAACCACTCCATCATCACATAATACTTTTTATATCAATTTGTCAATGTCACAGTTCAGGGAGCATTTACAACCTCTCACAGCTGTCTCAAGCTGCCAGATACAACCAAAACCCCCGACGGTTGTGTCACAAAGTTCCGGCCGGCTGTGACCTACCTTGCTCTGTGACCGGGACGAGTTTTTGCCGACCGGTGTGACGAACTGGGCTGGGAAGGTGCCCCGGCGGCCGTCCAGCAAGCCAAACAGCCAGCCTGCGGACATGGGCACACGGGTCAGTATCAGGGAAGGTTACCTGACCCTCTCCCGTCGCTAGATGTGAAGCCATGAAGACAGCCTGAAAAAAAAACATAAGAAATGGACAGTGGACGGCGGACACAACCAGCGTAAAAAAAGCAGCAGCCTCTCCGTAATTCAGATAGCCAGTCTGCGAAATTTGTTCATTGTTGTTACAGCTAATCGTCGTGGTTCGAAGCACCAGTCCCCTCGGAAAGGCCAAACTTCCTGCCTTCTAAGTCATAAGCCATTGCACGACTCTTCTAGTTCCAATAGCTCAGAAAGTTTGTAAACATTCACACATCAGTCCAACGCACACCCACCAACGCACATGTGTATCTCTCATTGACGCGAATACCTGAAAATCCACCTCGTGGATGGTCTTCAATACATGTGACTATGACTATAACATCATCTCTTCTAATCACGGCAGAAAGCCTCCTTTCTAACACCATCAGCGCCTCCCCCAGATCCCCTCCCCTCTCCCCAGATCATCAACCCTATCTTTCTCCACATCTGCTCCCATCTCATCCATTGCCACTGACACGTCTCCGTTCAAACAATGGCCAGCCCACATCGTTACTGTCGGCCATTGCCCCAGACGGTAGGCGCAGTGAACCGAAACATACCAGCCTTTCGCCGGAAATACGGCTGGGAGGGAGAGGGCTGCTATCAGCTGACTGAGCGGCTGACAGAGCTGTTCGGTACGGCCGTAGCGAAAACAACAACAGCAACAATAACATCCAGATCCCCACCAAACCTTAGACTTACTGAAATAGGCTTTTTATTTTGTTTTGTAAAAGGGTCGTTATTTTCAGTTGGATCCTTAGGCTAGATACCTAGGCTTAATGTCAGTGTAATCTCAGTGTAGAGATTCCAAGATTTGACATAGAATATGTAAAAATTAGCCTACCTTTAACCCATGATTTTAGGGGCTGTGATATATATTATAAACCAGCGGATTTCTTTTTAAATTCTATTCGTTAGGACGGTTCCCACCGGCCACCTTGCTGTAACGTTAAAAGCTGGTTAAAAGCATTACACCGCACACAGTTGAAAGCTTTTCTGAGATACCTACGCGTCGGCCTATGAGCATCAGCGCCGGCCGCAAAAAAATCAGTAAATTCTATTATTGGGTGATAATTGATGATGAAAGCCAAATGCAGAAGTGTTGGACGTCGCTAGGAGCTGGGCCTTTACTGACATCTACTGGTAGCGAGCTGTTCTGTTGTAGTGTTGCTACATATGACCACCAGGTGGCTGAGTGTGAAACTGTGCATATGCGGCATCCAGCCTATCATACTATGTGAGCAGAACCGTCGTATAACTAGCTACTCATCCATCCTCGCCATCCTCAGGACAACCCAGTCGCATTATCCCCATTATTCTTCCCTTTCCGGCCTGGCTTCCATCCCCACCAGAATACCGGAAGTAAGGGCAAGTCCTCGTTGGACTACCTACATAGACCCTCTCCGGGGTGACCGTTTCACCTGTCCGTGCTTCTATCCTCAGGATACTGAAATCCTTTTTCCACCACGCCACAGCCCCCTTCCGGGCTGGGCAGGCAACTTTATCTCATGCGGGCTGCTCCCTTGGAGCGGCACCGCTGCTCCCGAGGGAGCGCACCCCGTAGCCGGGTGCAGTGAGTGCCTTGGGGCTGGGTGGCCTGTCCTCTGGACGGGCTCAGCCCCGGCGACTCACTAGGGTGCCTGCCCAGACCAATGTCTCCCCCTAATTCCTATCATGCTTCCGGCTCTGCAATGGTCTTGTCGACCGAAAGGGCCTAACCCAACAAAACAAACAAACAATGACCGTTTGAGCAGCACAGCGAACTGTCCCATCGGGACATTCCTATCCCATCGGGACATTCCTATCCCATCGGGACATTCCTATCCCACCGGGACAGTCTCTGCCGCTGAGGCGCACCGTCGGTGGTTCGCACAGCCCAATGTCTACAGTCTACGCCCTATATCGTTATCCCATAGCTCTGCAATGGCCTTCTCAGGCAGAGAAGAACAATTGTCCCGAAAAAGAACGTGTTAGTCCGAACAGGACAGACTCAGCCACTGGGACGCTCGAACTGGTGGCCGCACAATCCCTAATTATATCACGCATTGGTTTTCTTATCCCACGGCCCTGCAATGGTCCTCCTAGACCAAAAGGGACATTTCTCGTCATAATCCTAACCCTAAAAATAAAACATTACACCCCAGAAATTCATTTGAGCAGCTTGAGCTGACAGCGCTTACCTTTCTCGGTCGGTTGGCTCTTCTTGATGACTCTGATGAGGTCTCCCTTCATAAAACTGAGCAGAGACGGATCGTGGCTTGTGTAGTCGGCTGTCGCTCGGACGTACTCGTGCGAGCCCTGGCGACGAAAAGAGAAATTACTGTTAGAACAGGCTCAGGTCTAGCAGAGATGGCGCTACTGCAGCTACCAGTTCGGGTCCTGCTAGTCTCTAGTTGCTCAGGAAGTGAGTTTTGTTGATCCATGATTGAAATTGTAATATTGATTCGTTGGATGTAAGCGATGGCGTGTCTGAGCATACTTATGGATATTACTGTTTTGAATAATGAGAATGACTATCATCACATAATAATTTAATGATATTGAAATGAGACCAAAAAATGTCATGTCACAGGAATTCCAATGATTCTTTTCTTCATTTTACGGTCATCGCTTTTGGTAACGGTCGTCCTCCCGGATGACCGTTTTAGCGGCAGGATTTCCTGTTCCACGGGGGCACTCCCGTTCGAAAGGGGTCTTAGGAAAACGAGCGTGTTGCTTTTATCGAGACTGAAGACGATTTTAACACGATTTCGCAGCGCCGCGGGGTGAGCGCGGTTTAGAAGAGCGTCAAAATCAAAAGGGGTATTTGTGTCACTTATTCGGTCATATTAAAGATGTAATATTAAGTTAAACTTTCAAGATTTTCACATGCTTGTACAAATTGGTCCCTTGCTCGTGAGCTAAAAGAACTAAAATGTCACAAAAAAACAATTTATAAATTTCTTAACATTTATTTTACTACTGAGTTCCCAAATATGACCTAAGATGAACAGACAAGCCTCCAGGGGCAACAAATCGCCCTAATTGAATTTTTTGTTCAGCACATTTTCTGCAAAAAGGTCTGATTGAAGACATGTACGACATTCATTTTAACCGTAGTACACTCGTCGAGACATGACGAAGGAATCAAAATTCGGTCTAAAAAGGTTCCCTTCTAAATTTTTCCTTCGTTCAAATAATGACTTTACCGGTAAAAGGTCCTGTGCATAGCAGTCGATCTGTATCGTTGAACTAAGTTCATTCAAGCTGATCCCATCGCTCTAGCGTGACTCCATAATAGTAAAGTTTATTATCTTATGTAGTCCTCGTCTTACGAGATTGTGGTGTTTTCTCACTAAATTCAGCCGTACTTGGGTACTTCTAAATCACCCTAATATTGTCATTAGCAAACGAGTACCCGAGTCACGACGCATATTTTGCATAGTTAAAACCCGCTAGAAGCGTGCATAAATAACGTCTAACCGTGCTTCTCCATTTATGTTTTGTCATCACAGAATGCCTGAACATTCACCATAAAACCGCTAACTGCGCAAACCGTAATACAATTAAGTACTTAACGGATACGGAGCCATCCCGTTTGGTGTTAAATAGGTCACGACTGCCAACCCGCGGCACCCCGCGTTGAGCGCGCCGTAGGATTGTCATTAGCCGCTTTACCAGCGGCTAGCCGCAGGAGGGATGCCCGCAGGCGCAGGCGGAGGCAGCGGCGCGTGCAACAATTGCTGGACGGTACAACGGCGCGGGGTCGGCTCTGGCGGCCACGACGGGTCACGGTGGGGAGGTTTGGTGGCCGCTGATCTGACCTCTGGAGTGACCTCTCGAGTGACCTTTGGAGTGGCCTCATGTGACCTCATAGTTGACCGTAACATGTGGTATTATATGCGACTTTAGTTGGCCTTGCCGGTGACATTTAAGGTGACCTGAAATGACCCCATTTCTGATCTCGTAAGGCAAAACCCGAGATACGAATGCAGTTGTCGGATAAAAAAATACGGACTCTGGTCTGGTGTTAAAACTCCGAGCACCTTCATGCTAGAATCTTTTTTCATTCGGTTGCAAATCTATGGTGAAAACAGCGTTTGAGCTTCAGGTTACCGTTTCGAATATGCATGGGGAGAAGAGAAACTTACAACTTTGAGCGGAACCTGATGCTGCCACAAGATGAAAGTCTTAATTTTACGAAGTGATAAAAACCTACACTACAGCCAACCATTTGAGACGAATGAAGAATATTTTGGTGGAAAAGATTGGTTTCCGGCTTCGTCACGCTTGTCAGTCATCTGATTAGAACAACTAACCGCCTTGGACGTCTGACCTTCGCAACTTCTCCACGTTTTACACAATGTAAAGACCAGAAGACCACCAAAACGAGACACTCCTTCAAATTTTCAGACCTCAGGAGGACAGAATGAGCTGTCAAACGTGTTGGAGAAACAGAAGAGGAGTATGTGCAGACCAAAAGGCACTCCTACCTGGAATATCAGCCGTGAAAGCGTCACCGGGTCCAGCTGATCCAGCAGTCCCGAGTACAGCGGCAGGACCACGCCAAGAGCACGTGCCGTCGACACTGCTTCGTACCACCTCGCGAGGGTCGGAGGAGTGTTAGTCAGGGCGTCCACCATGTCTTCTTCGGGCACCGGCTCTAGAGAGCTAGCGCCTTGACCTGGCGATGAGCGAAGGCGTCTACTGTTGTTTCGTGGTTCTTCAAAATTGTCACCCCGTCCAAGGTGTGTTGACGAGGTTGATATGATTGAGTTCGTGCTGCTGGTTGACCAGTTGGGGTCGGTCTGACGAGTGGTTGGGATGGTCCAGTCTGAGCGAAGACGGACCACTTCGTCGTCATCGGACAAGCTCAGCAATCGTCGTGAAGTGGGAGGAGATGATGACCCGCGTGTTGTCCGGGCAGAAGTACTAGCTGCTTGACGAGTCGGGCGTATGGAAGACCATCCTGGGGAGCGACGCTGAGCACGGTTCGTCTGGAAACTTTGCAAAGTGTTGAAGGACCTCTTCACGTGAAGACGATGGTCTGGAAGCTGCATAGACGGTCGAAGTGAGAATTTCTCCGGGGGCATCGTACGACTTTGCGGGTTGTACCGGGAGAACACAAACGAAGGCTTGGAGAAGGCATTCTCGATGGCTTCGGTTCGCTTTCTCAGGATACCACGCACAGGCTTCTCGACTACATCAAGGCCGCTGTCTACGCTGCGAACACGATTTAGAGAGTTGGATGTCTCCTTCTTCGTCAGGTTCTCTGTACTTTGACAAAAGTTCCGCCCAGAACGTCGAGTCAAAGAACTGAGTGACCCGGCCAGGGGAAGTACAGCGTTGACACCTGTCTTCGTGGAGCTAGGTGATGCTCGATTCGACTTGGTGACGTTTGCTGCTCCTTGACTCTTGTATCGCTGAGACTGGCGGATGTTGGGGACTTTGAGTGCCGCGGTGCCACCACTTACTCCATGATTTGGCGAAGGGCAGACGTGCACTCCAGATGAGTCCGTGCAAGAGGAGCATGCCACAGACGAGCCCAGCGACCAGCTGTCGGTAGTGGTACCCTCGTTTCCGCTGTCCAACAGTTCGGCACCCATTTCTGGAGAAGATCCAAGTCGTTTCACGTTCGCAGGACTCACACGAACTTCTCCTGTGACCACTTCGCCTCCCTCGTCAGCCGCCGGGCGCCGCCACTTCAGCATACGATGATTAAAATTATGTCCAATTAGTGTCAGATCAGCAAACGTAATCACGAGGCAGCATCTCTTGCACTTTGTCCCTTGTCCAACGCGCTGAAACAACACTTCCGGGACCGACGATACTCACACGACTATCCTTAGCCGGTTCAATCACAAACACACACGAAGCTTCAGGTAGTTTCAGCCACCAGTGTCCCCGAACACACACTTTTTCGAACCACTCGCCGGACTATCGAAGCAGCTGCTGTCCGCGGTCTCACAGTCTCGTAGTCAGCCGAGCGGGGTCGGCCGGTCTCGCTCCATGGCCGGGCGGGTCTGCACGGGGCAGCTGCGTTGTGGCCACTGGATACGCCTCACGGCTCTCTGATAGCCGTCACGAGGTCGGCGCCGGCCATCACCAGCAGCCACGCCCGAAAGGCCACGATGCGGTTGGTTGAGCAGATAGCGAATTATCAGCTATCGGCGGCGCGGGAGTATGGAAATGAGCTGTGTGTGGTGTGGTATCGCTCAAACGGCTTTGTTAGTATGGAAATGAGCGAGGCTATGAGAGTCGTAATCACAGATCATCGATGGATGTGCTTGTTCTCACTACCGGTTTGGTGCTTGTCCTCAAAGCACAGTTGAGTCGGTGTATGTTCCGAAAACAATACCGGCAGCAGTCGTCCTCAAACCCTCGACGTTCGGAGTGTTCGCAGTGCACACTACCAAAGACGAGGCACTGATCTCCTCACTGCCATCGGCCGCGGCCTCAAACCTCACACAAAGCGTGCCAACTCGTACTCTACGACTGTCCTCACAAAGTACAGCCAAGTCCTCGTAAATCACCGTGATCAAGTTCTCTCACACTCGCTGTGCACCACAAACTCCTCAGTCCTCACTCAGCACCGGACCAAGAGTTGTCACAAACCACGACTGAGTCCTCACAAATGGTGATCAATCCTCTCACACTCGTTTTGAACCACAAATTCTTCAGACTCTGCGACCCAACTCCTCACAAACCAACGGGCAAATCACTGCTAAATCCACTGCTAAATCCACGATCAAAGCCCTCGGCGACTGCGGACCACGTCCTCGCGTCCTCGGCCACCGTGAATCACGTCCTCACGTCCTCGGGCACCGTGAACCACGTCCTCACGTCCTCGGCCACCGTGAACCACGTCCTCACGTCCTCGGGCACCGTGAACCACGTCCTCACGTCCTCGGGCACCGTGAACCACGTCGGTCGGCGGGCGACTGCCGCCTTCAGGGCCGTCCGTCTCACGGTACTGGTGCGCGCAGGGGGCGGAACGCGGCTGTCGCGCCGCCAGCGAGCGTGACCACCCGTGTGGGGACCGGCACGGCACGCTCGACGAGGCACGAGCCAGTAAAATGGAGGTGAGTCACAATAGGACACCGGCATACAGGCATTCCTATGTGTCGTGGCCTACGTGATGAGAGGTGGGTGTGCGACAGATAGGTATTCGTTTTTTTCAGAGCTGGCGAAAATGGATGGATGTTGAAGTCGATGCGTACCACATGGCTGTCGATTATGTTGAGTGTTTGGGAATATGATGAGCGCAATGTACAAAATCTTCATCGACTTTCGGCAAAACCGTGTCCCACCGCGGCTCATGGATTTTCACGCTCTAGTGTAGGGGTGGGTTCAACAATCCCCGGTTGGCTCCTTGGCCGCGTAGCAATAAATGATAAAATCGACGTTTGTAATGTAAAAAGGAAAATACTTTGCTCATTGTTTAGGGTACCTACCTCAAAGGTCAGATCACTAGAGGTCATTCAATGCCAACTTTTGCGAACTTTGACACTTCTTTTACTAATCAAATCGTTATTTACATACCTAACCAATGATGCTACAGCGTCATGGTGAAATGCATTTAAAGTGTCTTCAACGTACCTTTCAAATATTTCAATGCCTTTTAACCCTATTCCTGGCGGGCTCCGCCGGGACAAGAAACTGGCGGGGGGGGGGGGGCCGATTCGGCCCCCCCCCTGAGATCTCGAGAACGAAGCAAGATAGCGACAAGCGGTAAACGGCATCGGATACGCACGGCCAAGATCTACAATTTTTACAAAGGTCATTTTCAGGTCAGGTCAAAGATGACGTCACAGGGGTCGAAAAAGTCAAAATGGCGGCACTAGATATGGAGAGAGTTTTTCTCGAATAACTTTCGAATTAGTCAAGATAGGAACAAACTAAGGGCATCATCGTGATCCTCTCGTCAATCCGCATCGAATGATATATATGTTGACCTCGAAAGGTCAAGGTCAAAGGTTGACCTCAGGTCACGTGACCTCGAGGTCATCATGTATATCATTCGATGCGTCTTGACGAGCTGAACACAATGAGACCATCCACGCGTCTGTATCTTGTTCCTGTACGGAGTTATTGGCCAAAAACCTTTGGTGACCTTTGATGACGTCACATGACCTCACAGCTGCCCAACAGCAAAACAGACCTCAAGGTAGTGAAGGTTGATCGTATATGAAGTCATGTATGGTATATGGGGCCATTCGGACCCGTTTTAGTGGTAAAAACAGGGAGTTGATTTTTCCCCCATTGACTTATAATGGGGAGGTCGCGAAATTGACCTGACCTTAGGTCACCGATATCAAAATTCCGAGATATACAAATTGCACATACTGGTACCCTTACTAAACCCTGAAGAGAAGAAATTGATCGGTCAAAAACTCTAGCTCTGGCGTGATTGCAAACTTTTCTGAGGTAGCGTCACCAAACCGCCTCTGGTGACCTGACCTGAGGTCAGATCAACTCAAAATTTTCAGACATGTTGCGTAGAAGCCTTTTAGGAAAAGTCAGAAAATTTGAGCTTCCTAGCTCAACGCGTTTGGGAGATATAACCAAAAAACCTCAGGGGGGGCTCCTGAGGCCCCCCCCCCCCCGCCAGGAATAGGGTTAAGCAAACTCGAATTATATTGGAAATTTAACCACATTTCAAAATTTTACCTCAGGACAACGTTATGTCCTCCAGAGGATATACATATTCGCTTTTGCTCTTGCGAGGCAACTACTGGCAATTATCTGTATTTGCCAGTTGTTTTAAAAAGCTATTGTGTTGATTGTTTTGTTTATTTGCACGAGATTTTGAAGAAATTTACTTCGACTGTTTCGGATGATGCTTTGACCTGGCTTTGACTAAGCCAAGCTCGCGTTGAGCACTACATGGGCGTAAGCAGCACTCTTATTGCGCGTCCTTCATCCACCGTCTGACCGGAAAATTCCAGTTGCATTGAGAGCTGAACTTTTTAATAATGGTTATCCAATTAGTCGGATACGGTCTATCCCATTCACTGACTTCAACTGGCTGTGATCAACTGGTTGCTCCTAAAAAGTGCAGACCATGCCCTTCACGTGTCTTTTATATCGAGCTGCCGAGCGAAACAACCCCGACTTCCATCAGCAATAAATTGATGCCCTGACACTGTGCAACGGAACGGGGAAAATACAACTAACACGTCGTTACGATATAGTTATGTCAAAACATCAGTCCGTGATCTATCCTAACGTTTTACATCAAACTTTTGCATGTATTAAAATCCTTACCAGCCTATGTGAAGGAAAGTTATCCACTTTCAAAATTCATACGGCCTTTCATAGTGACGGCTAACGAGAAAAGAAAGGACCGTCGAAAGAAAACTACAACTCTAACTCAAGGAGCTCTGTGTCGCTGATAGAAATTACGTCAAAGTTCAGTCTACGAAATTGCATGCAATCTTGTAACGATGATAAAAACATGACTCTCAGATATGCTCCTGGATAATAACTGGTGCGTTGTTTGAAGAAATAGAAACTAAATTTTAGCCAATTATATCACGTCAAACAACCCAGTGTAAAGTGACAATTGACTTGATAATTCCAGAGGGGCGGCAGGGAAATCGCCACGACTTGCCGCAATGCGTTTTGTAAATGTCCCAAAATATCGCAGGATTCAATGAAAAGTTTCGATATTCAAACATTCTGATCCATTTTTAGACTCTACCAGACTACCGAACAAAAGAATACAAAATAATGTTATACTCTTTACAGGCCACCACTTAGCTGAACGGGTTGTGCCGCCTATCATGCAAATTAGGTGACAAATCCTGTCCCCACGACAGACACGCTTCATTTGCGTAATAAGCACCACAGCGTGTCAATCCATTCAACTGGTGTTCCATGGGAAGTGGAAAATTATCCTGTCCTCACTAATTTTGCCCTTTTGTGTCCGTTTCCCTTCCTGTTGAGCAGCCAATCTGTATATATTTGACTCCAAACAAAGCCCCATGTACGAGACTATCGTACATGGGGCTACCTACATGGGGCTTGACGAACACTTATCATGGAAAGCGCAAGTTTCTCTTGTAGTGAAACGGTGCTATGCAACACTTCATGGGCTATCAAAATTCTGTCGTGGTCTATCAGCTGAAGTTAAAACATTTCTGATAGAGGCGCTTATTTTTCCGCACATTTTATACTGTTTGAGCGTCTGGGGTGGATGTGGTATCACCCAGAAGCGTCGCATTCAGCGTGTGATTAATCATTGTGCCCGTATCATCTTCTGCAGCCGGAAGTCAGAGCATGTCTCACCACTCCTGGCATCGCTTGGTTGGTCCACCATTGACGATTTGATAAGCAAGAGAGACATGTCGTTCATCAGCAGACTGATGAGCCACCAACATGCACCACAGATCCTACAAGAGTCGCTTGTTTACCGGCACGATGTATCTGATAGAGGTACCCGTTCTACTTCAGCTGGCCTTCTACAATTGCCCCGCGTGCGTACGGAACTCGCAAAGCGTTTCTTCAACTACCGTGCAACGGCCCACTGGAACGCCAGTCGTAACGGGTAGCCGTGTGTGACTAATGACTATGCATGCATGCATTCATGATGTGTAATGGGCAATGTTAAATGTAGTATTTGTGTTTACAAATCCGTACATGCGCGGTCTGAAAAGCCATCACATGGAGACCGTACGCAAATAAATACAAATACCTACTACGAGGCTACCTACTCGTATATCGAAAATACGAGTAGGTCCAGACTGATGAGACTCCCCTAACAGCCAAGAAATCACATGCGCACACTTGGAGATGCGTGTGATTGATACGAGTGAGATCTCATGTATTTGAATATGCTCTTGCATGTTATTCGCATTTGCCTGACTGCCGAAAGAGGGTCTTTCCTTATTGCCGAACTAGAATGAAAGCGAGACAAATGTATTCGAATAAGCTCTCGCATGTCGAAAGAGCCTGTTTCAGCAAGAATAAGCTTTCAGGTACTCACCGACTGGCTCTCGGCGACGAAGCGCTCCAGCATGTCGGTTAGGGTGCTGGCCTTGGACGTGTGGAAGGCCTGGCGAGCCCCGTTCTTCAGCACCAGCTGGACGGAGGAGCCCCTGTGTTCGGTGACCGAGCCGATCTCGTCAAATCTGTCACAAAAGATGATCACTGGTCAGTTTAGAGATCCACGTGATTTCAAGCATGATGACTCGATCTTTCGTGAAAAGGTAGTCACCAAATTAACACCTGATGACAAGATGCATTGAGTCCATGATATGTCTCTAAAAAAATCGAAGATTCGTCACATTCCCACACCTGATCAGCTAGATGAATCAACAGCATTCTTCGATCCGATGAAGACGCATATAACAAAAGAATTCGACAAAATTAGAACGCAAGAAAAGCACCAACGCTAATTTATAACAGTCAATGGAAGTTTTGTCAGCACATGAGCCCAATGAATAGGGTGTCTGGCTTGGTATCTACTTACGGGACGTGATCGATGACCTTGAGGAAGTCGTTGGGTACCGCCTTCTCCCGTCTCAGCAGCCGAACTCCGGAGTGGGAAACCCCGAGGAACTGGACCAGGGGGTTGTTCCGACCTCCCTGATGGTCGTAGAGGGGACAGAAGTTTGTAATGGTTAGTAGTGGTGGCGGTGTGGTGGAGTCTGGCTGTCTGACTTGTTGATACGACTAAAGACATGGTGCAAACACACATCAAGCCTTTGGGAAGGAGCGTCTTTGTTACGAATGCTATATTACACACAAAAATAAAGTTGATATGATGAGATAAATTAAACATTTTGATATTTATCAAGGAATTATTCTTGATAAATATTTTTCTTGAGAAATTATTCTTGCGGAATATTTCTTTCAAATATTGACTTAGTTCTATGTACGCCATGAACCACAAAAATCAATATCGGTTCGGTCATTGATTGTGATTCAAATGCATTTGGCACGATACGATTTTTTCGAGCAAGAAATGTAAAAGAAATTTACGAGAAACGTCCGTCACGATATCCCACTTGACACATTACTTACCGAGACGGGGAAGAGCATGCAGAAGTATGTTGGCCACTGCCTGGCCAGCTCCAAAACCTGCCGCTTCACCGAGAGCTTCAGCTGGGTGGCCTGCATGTTGGCAGAGGTGACGCCCAGATCGTCCAGTTTCTGTCGAACGAAGGAATCAGAATCAGAGGTGTTCGAATTGAAACACATGACATAGAGCGGTAGGTTCAAGGTGACTGAGAAGTTTAAAAAAACGTAAGGAACAGCTGCAACTTTGAATACCTAGTTACTTACTACCGTGCGTACTGCGTATCAATTTGTCAGACTGAAGTTCGACTGCACTACCCTACTAAAACTTTAACAGTTAAACAGATGTATTATCAGATAGTATCTTTTTACAAAAACTAGCAGACAGCGTCAGTTCGACCTGCCATCAGACTAAAGCCACCCATCCCAAGATTCTTCCAGATAATGTAGCCATGTAACCAGACTATACATATAGTCATTTAGCTCTTGTAGCCGTTATATCATTAGGCTAGACAGGCTATGTAGCCTTTTTAGCCATTCTATCGCTCACCTGTTTCGCCTCGGCCCTCTCTGCGTGACTGATGCGGATACAGGCCGGGTTGAAGACATCCTGTACGATCTGACAGAACACCAGGTGCAGGGCCGTGGCGTTGGTGACGTCCTCGGTTGGGGAAAACACCTGTGGAAGGGTACAGTCAGTTACAAGCGCTACAAACATTTCCAATAGTTTTCTACATTCAGATGATGGCTGGCTAAAATCGACAGACAAATATGTTGCTACACTTTAGCTAGGGAGCAGCATTAGCGCTGGCCGATGATATTTTTTCCGATTTAAGATAACAAGAAAATAAAAATCATTAGGGTATCGAAACTCAAGGACGTCGGCCAAAACGATGTTGCTTAGGCCTTAGCCAATGTTAGCCATTTTTAGCCATCGACCTCAACTGAAATTGGGCGTTTTCTGTTTATTAATGGTAAAAATAGAAGACCTTAGTAATAGTACCTGCAGTTAAAAAAGGCTGCTGTCTCTCTTTCGTCCTTTTTTGTAAACGCTAAATAAAAAAAAACGTCTGGCTCTCACCTCCTTCCGCACGTCTAGCTTCCAGCTGACCCGGTTGTAGGTGACGAAAGGCGCGTCACTGGGTGGGAACAGGCGGGTTTTGGCCGCCTCCAGGGTCCTAACCGACTCCAGGTCCCTGCTAATGGCCAGCTGACGGTAGGAGTCGACCGGCCGCAGGAAACCTTCTGATTCCTCCACTGTGGGGCAAAGAAGACGGTGTGATTGTCACCCTGGCAAATGATCGCTACGCATTTCCTAGCAAACACTGGAGTAGCGTAGTAACGATTTCAAGATAGAGGACTTGAAGCATGTTCCCCAGCTAAGGCCAGAAATCAGACGCGAATCCAAAGTCATGTTCCGTTCTTATTCTCACAAAATGCAGTGGACCGATTCTACGTAGATTATGCGATATATTATACCATAAATAATATAAATAATATTAATCATGTTACCTATGATTGTGCTTAAAGGTACGTTTTTACGTGATACGAGCTAGGAGTATCTGTGCTGACATGAAGTTCACGTAACGCATCGGAACAGCTGGTCGTAAGGACCTTTAAAACCAATAGCAGACAAGGTCACTGGAAGGCACAATCATCGCTGAAATGATACCATTATCTCTTCCATGGCACAGCTAAGTATACTGCTTATTGAACAGATTTAAAACAACTTTCTACCAAAATAACTTATTTCTAGGTGGACATGCCGATTATCTCTTCTACTGATCCCACTCACGCTCGTATTTTTCCGTTTTCTCAGTGACGTGCGTCGTCTCTGAGGCGTTGCTCCTTCTGTCTGGCTCAATTCGGCTGGGTCTCTGGTGACGGCGGTCACCGCGTATCGGCTGGATCGGCCGCGGCGGCGAGCGGCGGTCCGCGATCACCGGAGAGCTGTGTAACGTAAAAGCAGCACGGATAAATGTGTAAACACATATGAAGAGCTCGGTAAAGCGAGGTAGGATATTATTCACGTTGTACATGGTTGTTGGAATCGGAGATGTTTGAATTATGCTACCTATATCACTGGAGAAGTCGGGAACAAACTATCACACAAACGATACGAAATTCCCCCGTGTTAAGCCGACATCCAAGAGTACCTCCTTCGCCCCATCGTCCGTCAGCTCGGCATTGTTTGAGTCTAAGCGTAGGCAATCAAAAGTATACGTTTCCTCTCGCATTAAAATGCCTTGAATCGTGACCCTATATCGTTATCCACAATCTATACCATAGTATTTAGCCTATAATCTATCATCTGTATCGACATCCGAGAAATCGTCGTTCTCAGCCGTTCAGCCGGTCTGTGGCATCCCATTAACCTTGCTGACCTCTCTGACGAGCTGCTGTCTCCCGCTGAAGCGGTCCGGTGCGGTGGAATGGTGACCTGTAGGGGACCGATGGGTGGCGGCGGAGGCGGTACCCCTGGGCGAGAGGAGCGGTCTTCGGCGGCCCGAGGCGACTGAGGAAAAAAAGACACGGCACGTTAGATGGCCATCGCACAATTCAAACTGTCGCACAACTAAGTAATTATCGGTTAAAAATTAATATGTTACCGACCATGCAGTTTTATACGCGCATGGGTAAATAGTTATACGAATGTATGGATGCCCATCGTGCATCCATACATTCATAAAGGCATAACAACTCGATCAGTAAGATGCCCGACATACAGACGACCAGTATGCAAACGGCTAACACAAAGACAGTGATGACCACGACAGGTCACAAGACAGGACAAGAGCTGGACAGTGGTCAGACAGACGGAAAAGTGGTGCATGTGATGATCTAACGCTACAAAATGAAAATAATGCCGACAAATAGGTATGACAAGTTTATAGGACGATCAAAATCCGGTAGGATCTTTCTACATTAGCTGTCAGCCACAAAAATCGAGGTTACAGCATCGTTTCGAAGGGGTGGCATTGAAGTTACATAAGTTAGATAAGTCACATCAAACAAAATATAGGTAAAAGATATGAGTATCCAAGTGCCTTGACAGTAAATCCGTGTGTAAATCCGTGTTCACAAAAACTAAATAAAAAACGTCCGTCAAAGTTGACGTCAATATCAGGGCCATGGGACCCTGAGACGTCTGAAAGCGGTCTTATCTTAGACAGATGGCATTCTCCCGTGGAACCTACCCAGACGTTACGCGGCAAAACCTGTGACCGGAAAATTCGGGACACACCCACACAACAACATAGCCGTTGGCTGCAACTGCGTCATAATTGGTGAGCAATAACAATTCTCAATTAAAATCTCATATCCGTTGTTTGTAAAGAACGCATGACTATTACCATCGTCGAAAATGTAGGGAATAACAAGTAACCAGAGCCTCTAGGTAGTAACAAGGTGACTGACGTCATCAAACCTTCAGTGGGGACCATGAGCGCCCGCGCCCTTGGCTCGGGTCCTTATCTGGCCGGACTGACGTGCGGCCGCTCGTACCGCATCGCTCTCACTCCTGTCTTCGCCTTCGTCCGCCTCACAGCGCGGCCATGGCTCCGCTCGTGCTAGCTTTGGCTCTGCTAGCGTCAGCACATGCCACCGAAGTCTGCTACGACGACCTGGGATGCTTTGACGATCTAGGAGTCTGGGCCGGGCGCGGCCTACCAGAAGCACCCATTGAACTCGCCACCCGCTTCCTGCTTTACACTCGCAATGCCAACTACGAGTATGAGATCATGTACGACAAAGAAGCTATGCTCGGCTACTCCGACTTCGATGCCTCCAGGGCGAGGACCATCGTCCTCATCCATGGTTTCGCCGATAGCTGTGACGAGGCTTGGCCTCTGGAAATGATGCAAGCACTTCTTGCCGAAGAAGACGCAAACGTAATGTGCATTGACTGGAACTTTGGCAGCGACGTCTACGAGAAAGCCCGCGACAACTCTCGCCTTCTCGCCGCCGAGGCGGAACGCATGTTCAACTGGCTTGGTGCTCAAACCGGTCTTCTCCCATCTCAGCTCTACCTCATCGGGCATGATATTGGCGCTCATGCGGCTGCCTACATTTCCAATCGGCTTGGCGGAGTCCCCCGCATCACCGGTCTCGATCCAGCAGCGCTTGACTTCGAAGATGCGGACTCTCTGGTGCGTCTGGATACCATGGATGCGGATCTAGTGGACGTGATCCTTTCGAACGCAGCTGGGTATGATGCGTTCGGTTTGGGAACCACCGCTCTCACCGGTCATGTGAGCTTCTATCCGAACGGAGGAGTGCACCAGACAGGGTGTGAGGACACCATCCACAGGTGAGAGCCGGGATCTCAGGGCATGGGAGGGGTTCGGGAAACGCAGGGTGCAGGATTCGGGAAGGCGTCGGGAGATCCAAAATTGCTGTAGAGATAGCATTCTTTGGCAGTAAGTGCTGGAGCATGAAATGTGTAAACATACTATCAAACTGAGTCTGTAAGTGGTCAACACTTGAACCGTGCAAAGGCCTGCCGTGAGGGTCCGGTTTGATTATGATCTCTTCTACCTCTAAGTGTAAGGATACAAATAACTATTATTCATCGTGCGAAAGTGATGGACACATAAGATATCAGAAGACAAAAGCAGCAGCGTCGAATGAGCATCTGCCTTCAGCACGTCAAAACGCCCTCCACCGTTGGGAATACTATGTCTGTCGTCCCTGGCTGGTACAACATTTATCGTCTCCCCCTTTCTTCCACAGCTACATCCGCCACCTGTCTGGCCTGCGGACCCTCAAGATCAGCCGCTCCGAGTGGTTGTCAGCCGCCTGCAGCCACTTCCGCTCCACCGCCTTCTTCACCGAGTCCATCAGCTCATCCTGTGGCTTCCTCGCCGTGCCTTGCTCCTCCTGGGACGCCCTCGTCTCCGGAACCTGCCCCTCCCGATGCCACAGCGGAGAATGTCGCAACATGGGTTTCCACGCTGACCGACACACGGCAAATTCGGGCTCTTTCTATCTATTCACGGAGCCGTCTTCGCCCTACTGTGAGGCATTTATGAGCTTGGAGGTTGTGATCGGGTATGGACAGGAGAGCACGGAGGGCAAACTAACGGCGAAGGTGCTGGGACCCGAGGCGCAGACGTTCACACTGCAGGACGGACCGTGAGTTGGAAAGGGGGAATGGTGGAATGGTTGAGTGGAATAATATTTGGAATGGTGTTATTTGTAAAGGTCAAAGGGAACTGAGATCTGCCAAGAGGATTAAACACGTCACTGAAAGTCAAATGTTACATTGAACCACATTCTGATACATTTTGCTTTAACTGCTCGCGCAGCCGTAATTATTTCTTTGAACTTTACTTTATAAATTTAAGAAAGACGCCGGACGACAATTTTAAAGTGGCGAGCCCAACATGAGCGTATAACTTACTACTTGATCGCTTAACAGCTTATTTTTAACAGTGTCAGCGATGGCTACGAATCCAGTGTGATAACCTAACAGACATAACCGTACCCAATCATGTCGCCGTTTTGTTTTAAACGTTCTCGTCTGCGCAGGATCGCCAAGTCGGACGTGTTCCACGATAGTTTCTCCGGCTCTGATCCCGGCTCTGGTGACCTGCTGGTGGAGCTAACCTACACGAGGGCGTCATCGACCATTTTCCACCACTACAGCACCTCGCTGGAAGTGAGCACCTCCTCGCTGCAGGTACCACACCGCAGCGTAATCTCAGTGCATTACTGATACTGCAGTATTGACAGTGCAGTACATTACTGACAGTGCATACAGTACTGACAGTGCATTATATTACTGACAGCGCAGTGTGGCACTAACAGAACAAAACATTACTGACCAAGCAGAACATCTTGAGCTGCTACAAACCAATTACATTCGTGTATCCAAACAAAAATATTTTCAACTGTGGATGAATGAAATTCAGGCCAAAATAGCTATCTACCAGTAAATTAGCCTTCGCAGAACTCTATCAACGTAGCTATCGGCCTTTACCATTGACCACAACCGCTATCTCTGCCATCATAGCTACGAATTTGCATTCCGCACTTCATTATGCCACCATAGCTGTTTGCAAACAAACAAATTTATCACCGTAGTGTATCTGCCACTTGCCAGCATCTGACTGACCCACGTCTCCTGCCCATGTCCTCAGCTGAACAACATCGAGGTGTCCGTCTCAGACGGTGACATGCAACTGAGGACCTACTGGATCGGATCCACCGTCCTGGAGACTGGTGTGCCAAAGACCGTCGTGGTGCCGCCCTTCTAAACGGCAAGACGGAGTCTTCTAAACGGCTCGACAGGGTCTTCTAGACAGCTCGACAGGTCTTCAAGACGGCTAGACGGGGTCTTCTAGAAAGTTCGACGGGTCTTCTAGACAGCTTGACAGTTCGACAGGGTCTTCTAGACAGCTCGACAGGGCCTTCTAAACAGCTCGACTGGGTCTTCTAAACATCCCTTCTACACTGCTTCACGGAGTCTTCTAAACATCCCTTCTGGACAGCTTGACGGGGTCCTCTAGCCTTCCTAGCTCGACGGGCTCCTCAGCGGGCTCCAGAACAAGCGCCGCCGGAAAAAGATCGGTGTAGGAGCACTATATGAGCGGGAGACGCATGGGGAACTTATGTTATATGCTTTAAATACGAGATAATGCCTAAATTTTGTCGAGTGTTTTTGTGGTTGTTAGAAGTGCTGCTACTTTCTACGGTAACAGGTTTTCAGGAATGCTGTCGAATGTGATGTCAGTAGGGAATAGCCGTGTTTTAAAAGCGAGTTGTCCACTTCCTCACACATTAACCCTCGCCCATGTAGGGGGGGGTTGGTGCAACCCCCCCCCCCTGAGGTTTTTCGGAAATAGTGCAAAAACGGCGGCGCGCAGCGCCGCCAAATTTTGGGTACCTTATGGGGCAAACCTTGCGCATCTTTTGATAAAAAAATTTGACCGGGTCATGTCAGGTCACGGAGTTATGACGTCACAAAGGGAACAGCCTCCGGCCGGATTTTCACAAACTGAGTGCCAACGCCCGAGGTTTCCTGCCGGTGGTACGGACATCGGTTGATGGATCGTGATGAAACTTCCCATGCATGTTGAGGCAAGTATTGGCTATCATATGGTATAAGAAACTTGACCGGGTCAGGTCAGGTCACGGAGCTATGACGTCACAAGAGGAACAGCGTCCGGTACTATTTTTGAAAAGCGCCCGAACCACTATTTTGCTAATTCTTGTCACCTCAATGGGAATATGCAGCAATATTAGCTTCTATAGGGAGCAAATGGACCTCCCAAATCCAAAAATACAATCAGATTTCAAAAATTTAAATTTTGATTTTTCGAATTTCTGCCGCCGACTGTGACCTTGCCGACTTCCGGCGTTCCCAACGCGCCATTTTTAGAGCTAGGGAAACGAAATACATACCAAACGATAGAGAATTGATCAAGGAACACGATAGTGAAGGTTTCAAGTCGATATCTCCCACCGTTTTGCCGCAATCGCCGCGGAAAGTAAAAAAAAATCTATTTTTCCGAAAATTTGACCGTTGACCGGTCAAAAGTAGGTCAAATGTTGACCTAGGACCAAAAAATATACCACCAATCGCGAGATCTCGGCGAGAGCAATCCGATGGTCTTTTCCGCTAAGCTCTACGACGCTCCGTTTTCAAACGCCAAGGGGGGGGGTCGCACCAACCCCCCCCCCCCCCCCTGCATGGGCGAAGGTGGCAGATCGCCGTTTACGGGCGAGGGTTAAGCACATCAGCCTCGTTTAATTAAAAACTGGTGAACGTCTGATTTGTCTCATTAATGCCTAACGCCGTCATAACCAGGGCCATAGATAACATGTTATCTATGCCATAACCAACGTTTCTCTAACGCAATGACGGTGGCAGCTCTGCCATGTCAGATGAGAACGATTGCATATTTTAGTTATCGTCCTTGATTGTATCGGAATCAAGGGCTATAACCTCAACGGATTTAAATCATTTACCCGCGCACCGACGGGGGGGGGGGCGGATATCCGCCCCCCCCCTGAGGTTTTTCGCGGATAGCGGGAAAACCGCGGCGCGTAGCGCCGCGAAATTTGGTATGACTATTCTCTCATCAATTTTACACATGGTGTGCAAGTTTGAACCTCCTAACTTTTAAGGTCAGGTCACCAGGTCACTTTGAATGACCCAACCTCAAGTCACTTTTTTGCAACTTTGTCACCGTGCCAGAGCTACAGTAGATGTCGGAGGCCTTTGAAAGTCGCAGGATGTTATTAGGTCATTAGTGGCTACAATTTGTATATCTCGGAATTTTGATGTCGGTGACCTAAGGTCAGGTCAATTTCGCGACCTCCCCATTATAAGTCAATGGGGGAAAAATCGACTCCCTGTTTTTACCACTAAAACGGGTCGGAATGGCCCCATATACCATACATGACTTCACATACGATCAACCTTCACTACCTTGAGGTCTGTTTTGCTGTTGGGCAGCTGTAAGGTCATGTGACGTCATCAAAGGTCACCAAAGGTTTTTTGCCAATAACTCCTTACAGGAACAAGATACAGCCGCGCGGATGGTCTCATTGTGTTCAGCTCGTCAAGACGCATCGAATGATATACATGATGACCTCGAGGTCACGTGACCTGAGGTCAACCTTTGACCTTGACCTTTCGAGGTCAACATATATATCATTCGATGCGGATTGACGAGAGGATCACGATGATGCCCTTAGTTTGTTCCTATCTTGACTACTTCGAAAGTTATTCGAGAAAAACCCTCTCCATATCTAGCGCCGCCATTTTGACTTTTTCGACCCCTGTGACGTCATCTTTGACCTGACCTGAAAATGACCTTAGTAAAAATTGTAGACCTTGTCCGTGCGTATCCGATGCCGTTTACCGCTTGTCGCTATCTTGCTTCGTTCTCGAGATCTCAGGGGGGGGGGGCGGTCATCCGCCCCCCCCCCCCCCGTCGGTACTAAGTTGGCGCAGACCCCCGTCGGTGCGCGGGTTAAGAACGGAATTGCCATCAAATGCGAGAATCATGAGTCACGCATACACAGAGTCTTAGACAACAGTCTAAGACACGGAGTCTCAGTATACACAGACAAGAACACCCACCGTCACCTTCTCAGCTGGCTGCGCTGATCCAAGCTGCTGCTGAAGCAGTAGCCTTCTGGACATGTCCAGCTTCTTGGGCACCACCTTCTGGCGCCCTCCATCGGGCGTGTCCTTGGAGTCGGTGCTACCGTTAGTCCTGGGAACCGGGCACGGCGGAACAGGTGTTATTGATAAGGTGGTGGCGGTGTTATGAAATGAGGGAGTGGCAGGTACCGACGGAGAGTCGCCAGCCACCGGGGCGGAAATCACTCAGTGGAATATCATTTTAAAATAAAACAGCTAACAATAGTCACTGATACACTAAAATGAAAACTTTTGTTTTGCAACTTTGGTCGTCATCTTATAGATTCATCGGTATATAACAATGTTAATTGCAATAAAAAACAATGAAGTAAATATTTACAAGTTTGAAATTATCGCCTGTCTGTTTTCACTAACGCCGTATAAATGGCTCGCCATTTACCATTCTCCTCTTTATTCCTCAATTCGCTTTGCATAAGTATGAACTTTGACAGGTCCCGCATGGCATTTGCAAGCCTCTATTTTCCTTTGGTAGTTCTTTTTACGGTAGTGCCTATCTTTTGTATTGACACCTTGTATAAGAAGTTCGTCTCTGATGAGTCTGTTGAGCTTACCGTTCAGTGTGTTTGGATGTGACGGCTTCCAGTTTCATTTTGAGTGCAGACGATATCTTTAGCTTGCTAATTGAGTTAGGAGCTGACGAGGAAAGTTTTACGGCGGCCTCAGACTTTTCCTTTGGCTGCTTGTTCAGCTCGCGGTCCACTGAAAAAAAAAATTGTCGCTCGATTCTATTGATGAAAGCATTCTAACCGATCAGCTCAGCCAAACTAAGCAAGTTCAAGTCTGTGATGAACAATCTCCAAAACTAATTGATAATCTAGGTATTGCAAGATATTTAAAGCAATTTGATGATAGACATGCAAAAATAACAAAGGCGTCTAAAAGTAGTTATATAGCTCTTTGCATTTTTTTCAGAAACAAGAACTAAGTAATTCAAAATTCAAAAACTGCTTCCTCCACTGCCCACCTGACTTGGCCGATTCGCGTGACTTATTGAGATTTTCAGGCGTGGAGGGGGCCCGGGCGGCGTCCGCAGTCTCCATCTCAAATTCGTCCCACTCGACTCCCTCGAAACTCGTATCGGTGGCTGGGCGGCTGCCCGACTGTCAGAAACATCAGGGACATCAGTGCTAAGAAATGCAATATTTATTTTAGGAATGTATAAGCAGTAGTGGCATACTGCAGAGGAAAAAGTGGGAAACGTTCTTTTTATGGACCAGAAATGCTTGCATGCGTCTGCAATCAGTAACTTTGCAGACTTAAAGTTCAAACGACAACAGAAAATAGACAGAAAAGCAAGTTGAATACCTATAGCTACTCATTCGCAGCCCGTGTGCAGAGCATTCCGTGCAGAAAAAGTGAAGTGCATAGTTGTGTAAAAGAACGACATAAGTCAGCCAAAGATCGGTCATCGGAGCAGTAACACTTCTCTTACAAACACGCTTTTATCATGTGGATGCTTTGCAAGTCATCATGCTGAAGAAGACGGCAACATATTCTGACATAAAGTAAAGTAAAAAAAAAATGTTAGAACATCAATATCACAATGATAACTGATTGTCTAGATTCTGGTCAACTGGTCTTAAATCGAGCTACGAATTAAAACCACAGAAGCATGCAATACTACACCATCACCGCAAGTAGCTTTGTTGTGTTAATGCCCACAAAAATGCCCACAAAAATAGAAAATTAGTACGAATTGTAAAATATGATAACCATGCATTGCATATCAGTAATAAACAACATGAGATCGAACGGGTTTAAAAAGCTACATGCACGAGCGTTGCATACTGAATCCGTTAGAAGCACTTACTAGAGACAGTCTGATGAAAGAGAGAAGCAAGGGAAGAGAAAAGTGCCCTCATTGATTGACAGATAATAGGTAACACAAGTGTGTAGAACACTCGAATATGGAAAGCGACCTACGTCTGTCTGTGTTTCAATGACTTATTACCGAAGTAACACAACTTAGAAAATGCCAACAAATAGTGACAAGCTAAGTAGTAAATCTGTTTCATTTAAAAAAGTGAATAGTCTGAATATCAATTATCAAGAATTTAAATGAGCAATAATTCTATCGAAAACAATGTCAAACGAAAAACATATTATCGATAGCACTAATATTCTAAAAAAGAGGAGCATATTATCGAACTGAAAGATAGACAGATTTGATAGTTCATAGTCGCCGTAAGGATAAATTTCTTACCTTCTGACCACTGCTCAGTTTCCTCTGCTGGGCCTGCAGTTTGAACTGCAGGAAGTCAGCGGCGGCCCCAGCCTCGCCTTTGGGCGGTGGCCAGCGCCACTTGCCAATGCGGACCGTGCGTGCGCGCGTGTAGGAGGGATCCATGAAGGCAGCCATCTCCTCGGGAGTCATGGCCATGGGCGGCGCGGGAGGGATGCCCGACTGGCGAGAGAGAGAGAGATGTGGGACCGAATGGGTTAGTGGAGGAGGCTTTGGGGTCAAAGAGGTCAGGGAAGGGAGACGGAGTCATATAGGTTAGCCAATGGACTGCTGAGTGCTGAGGTGGAGGGTAAGGTAGCTTTTTGTTTTGTAGGGTTAGGCTCTTTCGGTCTGGAGAGACACTTGCAGAACCGGAAGGATGATAGGAATTAGGGAAGACATTGGTCTGGGCAGACACCCTGGTGAGTCGCCGGGGCTGAGCCCGTCCGAATGGACAGGCAGCTCAGCCCCGATAACGGTCACCCCACCGCACGTGAATCTGCTCCTGAGACGCTACTTACGTGAGATGAAGATGACCGTCCAGCCCGGATCACGGGTTAGAGGCGTGGAGGAGAAGGATTGACCATCCTGAGGATGAAATTGACGGAGTGTTGAGGGAAGATGAACAGATGGTGAAGTATGAGGGGTTATTTACTTACGGCACGATATTGGAAGCTAACCAGGAATTCTAAGGATTGGGGAACAAGCTGCTGTTGTTTCAGAATATTTACACATCAAGCAAATTAAAAGCGAACGATGCCTACCCAGAGAGCGACCTTATAACACAATAACATGGTGTATAGCGTTAGTAGCGTACAAATAAAACCCGGCAAAAATGGATAAAAGCACATTCCGTCTATTATAACCAAAGCAGATAAACCAACCATTTAAAACGGGATACCGATGACATCTCCTCACCAATAAGCATTAGCAAAAAGCTAACCACTCCATCAGCTTACCATAAGCTCTTTCCAACACTAGCATCTCATCAGTCAAGCAGATAATGTCTTTTCTGGACCACCTTGGATGCCCCACTCGCGAATTTCCAAAGCCTGAACTGCTATGGATATATCGCTCATTTTTTGATTGTATGCAATCAAAGACCTTCCTGTAGATAAAGCATTTGTAATGGTATATAACGACACTGTCGAAAGAATCACTTATCTCGAGAATCGACATTTCGCTAGTCGTTTATAGCAGTTCAGAGTTCGTTAATTCGCGAGAGCCAGGGTGTTTCCCCACGCCACCCTCGCTGTTAACTTTACCGGTCTCTCCTGAGAAGTGGTGCTCCGTTTTCGTTCGTTGTTGGCAGCTGTAGGAGAGGTCTCGCTGCCAGGCTCACGGGCCGCTCCCGCAGACTCCGGACGGCGTCCCTGGGATGTTGGGGTGTCCTACGAGACAGGGAAATGGAGGGTTTGTGAATAAGATGGCAGCTGTCATGACAGGTGACAGATAGCAGTAGACAGCTTGTGATGCCTCTTACTTCATGACCGTTATGAGAAGCAGTTAATTTCTGAGGAACAGTGCCATGCTTATGAACTTAGGACTTCTGGCAAGGCATAGAGGCCCGAGTGATACTTACGAGTATAGTATCCTCACGTTCACACAAAACCAATCCGTAATTTCTACCTTCCGTCTTTTCAAAAACAAGAACCGAGAGGGAACAACCACTAGTCTTCGACCACCCCGCACGAGTTCCTCCTTACCTGAGGAGCGGTGGAAGCCTGCAGCAGCTGCGCCAGCGCTTGGTTCTGGCTAAACAACTGCTGCTGAATCTGCATGTTCTGCGCCAGGGCCGACTGCATGAACATGCGCTGGTAGGAAGCGAGTTGTTGTTGGTCTGGTTGTGCGGATCCGTCGGGCGCCGGGACACCGGGCGTGCCGTATAGGGGCATGGTGGGCAGGCTAAAACCTGAGGGCAAAGATGGACACAGCGTGTAAAGAACAGAGCTTTTAAACAGATTGAGGCGGCTAGTCGCAGCAAAATGATGTTCAGCTAAATATACAGCGGGTATTCAAACTTGAAAACGATTAAAGCGTTATTGTTATGAACTTCGATGAGAGTTGGGTATCCTGCACACAACAAGAAACGTGGCAGCCAAATTGAGCACTGGACGATGAAGTACCTATGCGTCAATCTGCTTCAGAACGTCAAAAAAAAAAATTATTGCAAGAACCCTACGTGGGTGTCAATCTGTCTCCGACTGAGCGCCTCCGTCATGGCGCTCCCGTCTAATTGTCTCTGAATACCGTTCTGCTCGTCTCTGACGAAATGTCTCAGATTATCGAGAATATCTTTTTATGTCTTATGTTTGTCTCCTTACCTTGCATGCCGTACATGGGCATTGGCACATACTGCACTTGTGCAGGGGACGTGGCCCCCTCTCGGCCAGCGCTGAGCGTCGGTGACGTCACACCTCTCTCGCCAAATGATTGGTTGAGCTCGGGTGACGTAGCAGGCCCGAACATGGGCCCTGCTGGTTGGGACGTGCGGTGTAAATGAGACAGTTCAGAAATGAAGAAAACTACAAAAGATTGATTGACTAGAAGCGCAAGTTCGAAAATCAGTGCAAGATGAACCAAGCATGAAACTCTACCGGTGCAGAACACTACCATATGAAATTGTGCGCAGGTGTGCAAAAGATCGATGTAACGCACAGCACAGTAATTGGCTAAGGAGCAAAAACACATGCATACATAAAACTAATCAGAATATCAGCTTAAAGGTAGTGTGCCAGCTTTCTTGGACCATATGGAGTTAATGGCCCAGATAAGGAGAACCTGATTTTTAGAACTTATCCATACCTTCAAAACTCATGGAAACGTCTTAAATTCTTCAAATTTTGAGTACCCCAGTGCGAAATTCGCCCCGACGGGTTGTCGGTCGTACCCCAACCACATTTCACACCACTATGAACAATAAATGCACACACTGAAATCGCTATTACCGATATGCTCATCCAATCAAGTTTCGATAAACCCGTTCATCATCATCTCCTGCGGTTTCGAACACGCCTGTTAGGTGGCTTCTGATGCTCGTCGAGGTCGGAATTTCCAAATACGCGTGGTGCGTCGGGCCGCGCGCTCTGACTTCGGCCAAGAAAAATGCGTCAGCTGATCATTGTCATTTCTGCCACTTGCGTGTGGTGAAATGGGGTCATAACTTATAAGACGGCTTTTTCATATCAATTATTTTACATAAAATCATATTTCAAACCATAAATAATGTTCGACAGCCAAATAAAAGAAACAATACCAATACGGGCTTACAGTTTAAGGCTCGACATTGTGTTGTCTACGATTAGACAGCTGATAACTCATTCCCGTACGTCGTATGGTCGTAAGTCGTAACACTATAATGACCTTTGCTTATTGTCACAAGTGCGCCGCATTCGCGATTGTTGCCCGACGCCTGTTTGCAGGTGAGCCCACTACAGTTGTTATACATATCTAAAAACCGAAATACTTTTAGGCGAAAAAGGCACTATTCCAGGCCCATTTTTGATTTTTTTTGCGATATTAGGTAAAAACAGAAGCTTCTTATCCTAGGAAAAATAAAATGGGAAATCTTTCAAAGGTGGCACACTACCTTTAAGGAATTTGACAAAATGCAGCCGCGAGAAACGTGTCTGTCAGAGGGCATAAGAAATAGACCGAAAAGGAACGTCCTAAGTAAATGTGCGATGTGAGTTTGTATAAAAGCAATACAAACGATCGATAGTGATGAAACTAACTACTGTGCGATCCGTACCAAATCTTATCCATGTGCATGCGATGTCTATGGATTGACAACCTTGCGGAGAAAACTACAAGTTAGAATATTTTTCCTGGGAAATTACCTTGCGGTGAAAAGTAGGGCATCCCTCCTGGCATCATCATGGGCGGTGGGGACATCATCCCCGAGCCGGCGATGGGCTGGAACACGAACTGTCCCTGCTGCTGAGGGCTGGTGGCTGTGTTGTCTGGCTCCACGCCGCCTGAAACGGACGCAGAAGGTGACTTTGTTTAAATGCGAGATAGCTATTTTCGTTTTGACGCTTACATGTCGGTATAGATAAGAAAGCAAAATCAAAATGATCAAAACATCGCAGAGCTCGATTTTGTTATTACAAATAATGGGTCAAATATCTAATAAGCTTTCTCATTTACAGCATCGCAAGATTTCTTGTAAGTTACAATGTTGACGATAAGCACATTCCATTTTGCCTGTTTTATGATAACTTCTTACTTTCATTGTCTGCACGATATTTAACGTTCCACTGAAAGTCTGTGATTAATTGAAAGTTTTGCGTTTCCTGCAGTTAAATAGCACTCTCGATTGGACTTAGTTTTCCGTGACAAAGCAGAACTGAGGTGACACAGCAGCGTGACCCCCACCTTTGATGGCACAGGCGAGTGCGACCGGCTCAGTCAGCGTGGCCAGACCGGGGCTGACAGGACCACAGGTATCCTCCAGATACTCCTCTACGTTCTGCTGGGTCACCACCGCTCGGCGACGAAGAGAGTCGCGCCGGCACCTGGTGAAAATATAGCGAGAGTTAGTTGGATAGACAGGGTGGAGAGAGCCCAGTGTGAGTTAGTTAGAGTTTCGCAGAAAAAAAAATTGCCAGCGTAAATCATTCTAGCATACTACTCAGAAGGGGAGGGGACATGGTTCACCACAACATGTCATTTAAAGAATGCTTTGACGTAGTCCATCGTGGTCTTATCTACAGCTCATTCAAAAACTTTCAAAATCAATACGTAGTTAAATATAACGTTGGCGATTAAACACGTTAATATATATATATATATATATATATATATATATATATATATATATATATATATATATATATATATATATATATATATATATATATATATATATATATATATATATATATATATATATATATATATATATATATATATATATATATATATATATATATATATATATATATACAGGGTGTTGCAGGTAAATTGGGAATTTTCAGACCTAATTTCAACATGCTATTAATACGGTGAATGAAAACACAGAAAGTTGAAACTTCGCACGTGTATTGTGTCGTGTACGCACAGCCTTATCACTCGATGTGACCGCCGTCGGCGTCCCGCACCCTCTCGAGACGGCGCCGGAAAGCGGAGCACGCGCGCCGGGCCTCGTCCTGGTCAATGGTGCTGACTGCCTTCCTGATGGCCTTCTTCAGGTCAGAAACGTTGGCAGGAGTGGTCGAGTTGGACTTTTGTTCTACCACGCCCCACATCCATAAGTCGCATGGATTCAAGTCAGGCGAGTTGGAGGGCCATATGTCCTTGGGTACATATAGGGGGATCCTCTGGCTCAGGAAATCTTGCACCCTCTGGGAAGCATGTGCTGGGGCGGAGTCTTGCACCAGCATGACTTTGCTCAGGTCATAGTATTTCATCATCCAGGGGATGAGAGACTCCTTCAGGATGGTCAAATGCGCGTCAGTGTCGATCATCACACCAGCAGGTGTGAAATGGGGCGGCATTATGCGGCCATCACTTGCAACGGCCCCAAACACTATCACTGATGCCGGATTTTTGCCTTTCATCACGGGAGCCACTTCATCAGGGCTGTAGGCGATAGCCCGCAAGTTCCGGCGGTTGGCGACCTCTTCTACGATGAACTTTTTCTCATCGACAAATACTCTGACGTCACTCCCGAGGTGCTTGAGGAGATTGATGACCTTCGGTGCCCTCTCCCTTCGCATCGCCCTTGCTGGTTCGGTCAGGAGGCTTCGTCGTTTTCTGGTAAACGACTTCATCCCGAGGTCCTCTCTCACGGCTCTGCTGATGGTGCTCTTGCTCACGTGACGGGCACGCGCAAGCTTGTTCATCGAGGTCCTCGGTTTGGCCTGTATCGAGCGTTTCAAGCCGCTCAGGAATGTTGGTGTCCGTTTTCGGTCACTGCGAGGTGTGTGAGAACGTCGAGCGACATCCCCTCCAGCTCCTACAGTCGCGATAGTTCGGTACACGGTAGACTTTGGGTACCCAGTTAAACTTAGCATGACCTTCGCGCTCTGTCCGGCGCGAACTAACTCACCAATCGTTTCCCTCCGACGCTGCTCCATGACTGCGCGATACGTTAGGATTAAAATTTCAATATCAAATGAAAAACAATTGTTGAAATTATATTGTGTCAAATTTCCATGATGTTCCTCCGCATAACAAATTTTTTGTAAGGTCATGAACTTAGTCCCAATTTATCTGCAACACCCTGTATATATATATATATATATATATATATATATATATATATATATATATATATATATATATATATATATATATATATATATATATATATATATATATATATATATATATATATATATATATATATATATATATATATATATATATATATATATATTGAGACGGGTTACACAGCACATTGGGTGGACGCGTTTCGTCTAAATGACTTTTTCGACACCCTTTCGGAAATTAAAACAATACAAACAATTTCCGAGAGGGTGTCGAAAAAGTCATTTAGACGAAACGCGTCCACCCAATGTGCTGTGTAACCCGTCTCAATATATATATTTGTCTATTACTACTCAACTAAACACGTTAAATATGTATGGAAATAGTGTTTGATATCTTACGCCCGGAATACAGTTCTAACATACCTTATAGATTTATCGCAAAAAAAAAAACGGAAATGGTGTTCGGTTATGAGCTGCGACTCTTACTCACCTAAAGAAATCTACCGATAGATCAAGCTCTTCCATCTGTGACTCAGCATCACTAGCTGCTTCTTCAGCACCCTCATCAGCAGCCTCTTCCTCTGTCCTAGCCGAAGTGGCTGATTCAGCCGTCCTCCGACCTCCTCCCTTGATTGAGGCAGCCAGTGAACGCGCGTCCGAGAGCTCGTCCAGGCTCCCCTCCAGAGCGGGGATGAATAGTGCGTCCACAAACTGATCCATGTCGCTCGCCTGAGACGGCACGCGCACGCGGCGGACGTGTGAGGCTGTAACGGAGAACACAAATTAGAATGGGGACTTGTTCTGCTTCACAGTCGGCATTTATCTACGACAGACTTCAGGCTAAGTGGATTGTCATTTAATTGATGCTTCCGAACCACCAAGCACCCTAAAATATTATAACTTGCAAGAAGTGTTTGAAAGTAAAACGATTTCTAGAATGATGCTGATGACAATAATCGAGGATCAGATACAGCGATACGTGACCGTAAGCTTCATCAACGGAAGTGAACAAGAAATGAAAGATGCGACACCAAAGCTACTTGGTCGCGTGCAAATCCATAACGAGAGAGAGCCTTGAGACCCGTTTAGCCGTCTGACAGTGACATGTGCAAGAAGCACTGACTGCTGGCAACCTTTGTTGAAAAAGGAAACGTTTAAATTAGCTCGAAAAATGACAAAATGTCTCATTATAATCACCTAGAGAGGGCGCCTCGCTGGTGTCTGACATGGCCGAGCTGCGCACTTGGTACTCTTTCTCCACGGTCAGCCTGCTCTCGATGTAGGCTCGCGATGAGCTCTGACCGCTTCGCTTCCCGGCGTTCTGGGACTTGACGTACCTGAGAGACGGGGGAATATGAGGTGACCGATGTCTGTGGTAGAACGAATGGGTGTCTCGCCATGGTCGCTCTACGATGGAAAGCTTATGATGAGGTACGTTTATGGTTATCCGTGCAAACAAACTTTAGAAGGTGAAAAAAAAAACAGGAGCCACATAAAGCCCATAAACCACACAAGCTAGTCCAAACAAAATAAAGACTAGTATACTATCCTTTGATGACCTGGGTTAGTTTGAAATTATGAAGTACGGGGTCAGTTAAGTATCCCACAAAGCTCTTTCATGATTACATCAGCATCCAACAGATACCGATAGAAAAGTGATAAGACAACAAAAGTCTAGAAGAGAGATAGGATGACATTCTGGGCCACGTCAGAACTTCTCACAAGGCCACTAGCGTCTACTACCAAGCTCAACAGATACCTTGCAGCGCGGGGAGACGGACTGCCATCCAGCTCGTCCCCGAATGGCGGGAACTCTCCCTCGAAGGCATCGTCGATGGGGTCTCCAAACTCGTCCACCCTGACCGTCCACCAATAACGGAACGTTCAGAGCATGCACCAATCACCGAACATAATACAGAGGGGACAAGACGAAGAAAAGTTACGGAGGTACTAGACTGAAGCGGGAAAATACGGACAAAAACTACGTCTGTGTTAAGTTAAGCTAGTTGATAGGCTTATTAACCGTGCATAAAGTCATGACTTTGTGAGAAAACCTGCTACAAATAGATATCAGTCCCCACAGTTAACTGCAGCGTGAATCGAAAAGAAAGTTTGACAAACAAAAATAAAAGAAAGGTTCGACAAAGCATGAAGGATATGTCTGATATTTTGGGACTGTTATTAGCCACATCCCAAGCAACCAAAACAGAAAAAGACGTACATAACCAAGAAACCACTATAAGTGAAGAGAACAAATAGGACTTGAAGAAAAAAGGCACGGCAAAACACATTTTTCTCAAACTCACAGGAAAATGAAAACTGCAGTTTAGTGTTGACAAGTCAGTAGCTGACAGACAAGGAAAGAAGTAAGAGCGGAAAGCTCGGCTCTAGCTGGAGTGCGGAAGTCCAGTTCTCACCTGTTGTAGGCCTCATGTTTTCTGTACCCGCTCTCTGCCGAGTGACGTCTGCCCTTTTGTTTCTTCTCGAACTGCTCCTCGTGACGAACACCCCCGACCCGCTCCTCCGGTGGTACCGAGCCCTGGGTGCCCTTGGGGACGAAATACCTGCGGACAGAGAGGCGATCAGTTGTCTGCTGGTAAACAATGCGAAGTCACATAAAATCATAGGAACGTGTCAATTTAGTGAGGAAATTTGTCAATACGCGTGCCCAACTATCTCTCGCGTGCAAGCATAACATGAAGGTCATTCGTGGCGTTTTGCTGAAAGTGCGGATGAGACTCCCCCTTACTTTATTATCTGCAAAATCCAAGAAATGGCCACCCTGTAGGTACCTACGTCTCGAGCCCAGGGTCACCTAATGCCACATTAGGTGCTCGTCGCTTATTTTTGGTAGGCAAATGCAGAGGAGCCCAGCTCCTCCTGCATTTTGCAACTGAGTTTGACCACTATATAGGACAAGTTGACAAATATCAAAACTGTGCAAATTGACTGACAAAAGTGACTTAATATTTCCCACTCTCCGCCACCACCAGCTCCCACCTTTCGTTGAGCGCGCTCTCGCTGAGGCCATGTTTGTTCCATCCGGCGGTGGGGTCTGAGATGACGTCAGCGGAATGGTACCGCTCGTTCAGCCGAGACCCGGACAGACCCAGTTGGTGGGCACGCGAGTGGGGCGCACCGCGAGGACCCCGCTCGCCCTGTGAAAATGAAACATAGATAGAGGTTAGATCAGTTGGTCAAACATGAGTCCCGACCAATGGATGTCTCAAGAGGTCAAATAAGTAAGCTACGATGGACAGAAGTCAGATAAGTTCAGCAGTATGGAGACTAACAGATCTAGCATACATCCGTCAAGAAACACTGTCGTTGATGAGGCAGGCGTTTACAATGTAGGGGAAGGTGGGGTAAGACGGCCCAGCGGGGCAAGACGGACCACCAGCCCTCCCGGCTGAACTGCTGCTGGTATCTACTGCTTTATGCACTCACTATGTTTGTTTTCCTTCGTAACAATGGCCACCTTGAGCTCATGCTGCTAGGATGCATAGCTTTTGAGTTATTGAGAAAAATGTTGTTTTTCGTCAAACCGATCTAATATAAGAGGTCTACGGGTGATTCAATTACGGCGCCTTTCTTGCATGATTAGTTTCTATTTTGCACTTAACTGTGAAGAACAAAGTTATAAACTTAGTTATAGGCACACTTTAGGAAAGGCAAGGTTTTGCAATGTTGGGCTATTTGACATATGCGTCATGATAATGACAGAATTTAGCTTTGGGGCAAGACGGACCACTGTGGTCAATCTTACCCTGCGGTGGTCCATTGTACCCTGCATATGGAAGGTTCTTTTCCAAAACATTGACACAAGTTTAAGTAAGTTAATTTTTCAGGAAGGAGTCTTTGCTGCATGTGAGCCATGCATGCAAGTGCTCAGTTAGCATGCATTCATGTTAAACGACAAGCAACACACGTGTTCCCAGCTTTTAGCTGCACTTCCATCACACATGAGTAAAGAATAAAGGCTCATTTTGTTATTTCACCATTCTGGTTACTTTTTCTTACAAGAGTACAGAGCAGAAGTGTAACACACATGAACGGATAGCAGGCACTGCTGGGTGGTCCGTCTTACCCCACGTTTTTTTCTTGTCTGAGTTTTTGACATGTCCCTCTTTAAGAGCATCCACCACCTAGATGTCTTTAATTTGAAATTTAGTCTTTACACATATCAACAGAGGAAGGATTGAGCATTCCGAAGACTATAAATGATATGAATTACGAGAGCAGTGTAGCAAGATATGCGGCCTCAAACCTTAGCTGGTCCGTCTTACCCCACCTTCCCCTACGTCCAAACTCACGTCATCGAGCAGGTTGTCGAGGCTGCGGCTCTTGTTCCTTCCCCCAGTGACGTCATCCGTGTACGGTCCGTCGTGAGCCGAGGTACGCCGCTGTTGTTCACGCAGCTGCTGACGGAGGGGCTGTCCAGACAGAGCACGACCAAAGTCAGTAGAGACGAAATAGGTATGATAAATTAAACAGAGACAGAACAGACCTCTTCGAGTCCCTCTCGACGTAATGAATATTGCCGTGCCAGTTGAAATCAGCAACAGTCAAAATTCCACAGCCGTAAATTTTTCCGTATTCTAGGGTCTCTGATAGGCGCATCTGGTAGGGTGCATTGTGCAAACATGCTAAAGTCACCCATGCACAAAATTCAGAGTTCATGTGTTGGTCCAGTTTATCGTGTGTTTTCATTAGCAATAGAAAATAACGGTCAAAAGTATTCATAAAAAGAAACAAGCATGTTGAAGGACAACCAGATGCTATTAGATATAAAAGAAGGGAAGTGAAAAGAAGTGCATACTTATGATCAGTGATACAGCGGATACATACCTATCAAAATGGGTCCTTACTCCTAAGCAGTCTAACGAGTGAGCCAAGGAATGACATGCATTGAACAAATGACATCGTCTTTTTTTGACATTTGACAATGACATCGTCTTTGTACCTTAGCATAGAGCTGTCCGATACTGTTAATGGATTCTTTCCGATTGGCCGGTGGTGAGCTCTGGTGATCCATTGACATCATCTGCTAAAGAATAGAGTGCATAACAGTCACATTCCCATGCCGTTTGGGGTGCTGCAAGAAGAAGTCTCGGTGAGGTGCATAGCAAGCATAACCAAATTTTATTGGAGCCGTATTAACGTTAGTGGTTTTCGTAAAATCGGATGAGACAGAACACCAAGTCAGGCAAAACATGCGGTGAAAAGTTTAGACAGTGAAAATCTCAAACATATTATACTCGCATGACCGAAGATTCAACGTTGACGTAAAAACGGCCCCAAAAGTGAACGTACTTCTTTAGATACCTATTTGTGAAACATGCAAAACGTGGTGCTTAGTGCATCATGGTGCCGATGAAGTGCGCATAGCAAGTGCTTCCTTTGCTCAGAAAGAAAATGTGTAAGAGATCGACTAACTATACGACGTGCTAAACCTATGATGCATGATTTCTTCGTATATTATCAAGCATCTGTTATATTTATTACGATATGCTTTACATCATATCGAGTGTCATCAATTCATCATATTCATCATCATATTCATCAATTCTTGTGTAATCAAGCACAGACTGAAGAGTCATGCCGGCTGCACTAGATTGACCAACACACGTTACGTCGGCTTAACCCAATGAGTCATCTGACCCCATCCCCACCCAGCGTATGATCTCACCTTGCCTGACCCGGCACGCTCGCTGACCATGAACCCACTCCTTCCGGCCGGGAAGCCAGGAGGCAGTTCCGTCTCTCCAATCACGTCCATCACATAATCCGCCCCGCTCAGTTCGTATAGGTCCCCCTCGTCTGTCATTTGGGCGGTCCAGCCGAATGTACTGCCGATACCGCGGTCTGGGGGCACGCAAAAGGTCAAAGGTCACAGGTCATGGTTAAAATCAAGAGGTAAAGGTCACGAGCAACCTCAAATGGTGAAAGAATCGGTTATTACTTATTTCATCAGTTAAAGCTAGTTTATCAGCTAGGCCAAAAACACTTTTATGACAAAAAGCTGTCCAAACAATTTAAGTCAGCTATACGAAAAGTGCACATTTTACATGTATTGCGCCTTTACATATTATCTTACATCTAATGTACACATGGTATACGTGTCCACGAAATCAACAAAGTTCGATATTCATTAAACTAAACGGAAGCAAGAAAAAAGTTTCATTGCGTTGCAGATTCGACGAACTTTTATAACCATTTCCTCGAAAGAAAAATGATCAGTTAAAACTCACTTTCCAGGACGTAGGCGGCAAGCTCCTCGCCTGTGGTCCAGGAGTCCACGGGCGCAAAACACGTATGTCCGTCTGCACAGGAGACTTCCAGAGCCATCTGCTGCTTCTTACGGTTGCACCTGACGACAGTCGGACATGTTATGATAAGAGGCGAGGGGAGCTGGCTTTTTATGATTTATCACAAGACTACTATGCGTGAAATATGAATAATGATATTCTGCGATAGATGAAAGGCTTACGTCTTGCAAAGGAATGAATGTTTTTAGCAAACAATGCCAATCGACGGAAAGTAGTACTTTCCTTGCAGCGGTCAGAACGCTTATTTTCTACTCCAATTTCAAACGTTTTATCGCGTAAAACAGCTTGCAAGCTCTGAGTATCACTTGGTCCACTGGATATTGAGATCAGCTTGCAGCCACGATCAGCAGAAGTAATAGAGGTAGAAGTATAGGGCTTACCTCCACTCGAGTAGTGTGGGCGGGTAGACCCGACTCAGTCGGCCGTCAGGTGGTGAGCGCAGCAGTTTCTTCTGGCAGTCGGCGGCGTAACCGTTCTGACCGTGATCTGACACGTACCTGTGGGGATACACAGTTTAATTACTATCTGTCCTTATAAAATACAATATCTAGCAGAATCTAGCACACAAGATCTGACTGATGTAAGTGTCCCATCTTTGTCGGTTCTGTGCAAAGGTCCGTGCGGGCAGAACTAGAAACCAGTTCCGTTTGGCAGAACGTGAAAGCCACGCCTGCAATCTAAGCAGGCAAAAACATATGCAAATCGAGAAACAAATCATGCAAACATATCAAAATATCCACAAATTTTCACATCTTCGACGAGCAACCCTGTCATTATTCATTGTCAGCAACCCTGTCATTATTCATTGAGCTTCAACGGGTTGAAGTGTCCTTTTCTCAGTTACTCATAGTCCTGAGCGTTTCTTTGGGCTCTGAGCGGCCACTCACTTGAGCAGATACTTGTAGAGGTTGTCGCTGGGCGGGAACACAGACAGACAGTTGGACATGAGCAGCCAGCCTCGCTCGGCGTTGGCCTCATTGTCGTTCTTCCAGGTCTGGTTGCAGAGCTGACAGAGGATCTCGTCACGAAGTTTCTCGTTGGTGAGACCCTGTAAAGAAACAGCGTGTCACGTTCACGAAGCACGATCGTGACTCGTGAGTATCACGATCCATCAACAAAACGAGGCGTTATTATTGTAGTTACTTGTTTTTCTTTTTCGATGTGTTTAATCTGGGTTACAAAGAAAGCCGAAAGCATCAGATAGTTGTGCCATTAGAATGTGCAATGTAGATCACGCCACAGGCTCACAATCTGCGCGGCATAGCAAGCCGTTCCACATGGCGTCATGTGTGCGGTATCACAAGAGAATGCCGGTTTCAAATCGAAACACTTCTCCAAAAGTAACGATACGTATCGTAGTTTTATATCATAACTGTCGTATCAATGAGTATCCGACCTCCTATCGTATTCGTGACTATCCAATCGCAGTTGTTGCAACCTCATATGGAAAGCATCAGGACTAGAGGCCTTCCCGCCCCTTTCCGCCATCAATCTCACCTTGTTGACGATGTAGTCTCCCAGTGCCTTCTCTCTGGCATCGTTCAGACTGTTGTCGTTCATGAAGCGCAGAATCAGCTTGAACAACGCCAGTGACTCTTGATAGTCGGACTCCTTCGCCTTGGCCAGGAATGGAGTGCGGATCGGCTCCCGTTTCATGCCCCAGAGGTGTGCCTGGTGAGGGCAGAGAATATGAGCGTTACGTAAAGCAGCATTAGCGGGGCAGCTGGAAAGAGTCGCGGGCTTTGCTGTCGCAAGCTGAACTGGACATATCTAAAATAGCAACAGGCAGTGCGTTTAAATTTCAATAATAGCGGCGAATGTAAAAAAAAACTAACAAGCATTAGCTACCTCGATAAAAAAATCAAAGCCAAAGCCACACAATAGAACAAAAACAAAACAAAACAAAAAAACATGTAAGATCACTTGAAAATAGACATGCAACTGGTAAAAAAAGGGCAATGAAACGGCCCATTTTAAATGGCAGTCAGGCAAAAATTATTGCAGCTCAATGCCCACTATCCGTAATATTGTAATCCGACATCATGAAATAAATCGTTTTCAAAATGAAACCACTCCACAAAGCGCACCTTGAAGTAGATGTTGGTGAACTTGGTGAAGGCGTGGTAGTCGATGTCGTGTGGCAGATTGAAGCGCTCCTCGGGCGGGTCCACCTGGGCTCCGATCTTCATTAGGTTGCGGTCCGTGTGGGCGGGGTGCCAGTCTAGGGAGAAATAGCAGGGGTCAGTGAGTTTGGCCAAATCAAATGGCAATGGGGTTTAAACAGGACACAGAACACAGATAGTCGGTAGGTCACGAGAACTTCCAGAAGATTAACTTTGGAGACTGGAGAGTGGGAGGGAGATGGAGAAAAGAGGGATGAGCAGACAGACAACAGAGAGCGAGAGAGCGGAGAGAGAGAGAGAGAGAGAGAGAGAGAGAGAGAGAGAGAGAGAGAGAGAGAGAGAGAGAGAGAGAGAGAGAGAGAGAGAGAGAGAGAGAGAGAGAGAGAGAGAGAGAGAGAGAGAGAGAGAGAGAGCAGAGAGAGAGCAGAGTGGAGGAGGAGGGCATTATTCAAAAGGTTTCGGAGCTCTTTGGGGTGGGATAGGGTCATGTTCCACTTTCCAGCAACTGTTAGAAACAGCTTATTCTGACAATGACGCTGACGCTGAATTTAACCAATGATACACCGACAGTCTACCGAATAGTCACTGACACTTCGACAGCTTAAAGCCGACTGACACACTGACACTCCGAGACACTACTATACCCACTGACACACCTTTTGGCCCACAACCACCCATCCATTTTATCCATCCCACTTACCATCCAGCCGACTGAAGATGAACGCCAGATCCGCAGGAATCTCCAGGTGGTTGACACCGGCCACCGCTCTCGAGACACCTCTCTCGTTGTCCCGTCGCTCACCCGAGGTCTTGGCCCGGGCCCTGGCAGCCCGTTCGGCTAGCATGCGACGCTTCATCTCACCCTAGGGGTGGAAAAGGTCAACAGGTCATAACTTTGGTCGGCATACCGAAGGTTGCGAGAAACGAGTCGCGGACATGTGATTGTTTGGTCGTCTTAGTGGGTACGGATTTTGTTTGGGGGGCATACGTGACAAAAATGTTTTTTGTAGCGATGCTGGTATGTTCCCTATAGTTATTTTGCGCTTCCGTTTGGGTTTATTTCAAGTTTGTATTTTTCGTTTATTCCTGTGTCTGTATTTCAATTGTGCTTGTAATTGTGCGATTACGTGTATAACGTATGATCGTGTACGCATATTATACTCGTACCTTATATGATATGAACAAAGTCAACTGAGCGAAACATACAAAGTTTTGTCCGTAAGCATGTGAATATGAACGCTTATTTGTCTTCAGAACTATGTAATTTCATCACATACCTTCATCTCGCTGAATCGTTTCTGCTGCCGCTTCATTCGGAAGTTGGCCTGGGCCTTGACCATGCCGTTGCGGACGGTACGGTACCTCTTCCTGTCCCGGTACATGCGGTAGTAGCTCTGTACTTTGACCGCAGCCTGCTGGGTCCGCAGGTACCGCTTCTCGGCCTGGTACCGGCGTACCTGTGGGGTACAAACGAGTGTAAAATGAATACACTCTACACTGAGGTTTCATAAAACCACAAATGCTCCCGCACAAAATTCACATTAGTACTCGTATCCTCTCCTCCCCCCTCCAAAAAACACACAAATTGTTGATAAAATATAATATATTACAAAATTAAAGGTATGCTCCGAAGCATTCAATAAAAAAACCATACATTCTGTTTCTGCGTTCCTACAAGACATAAACGGTTTAATTCCATGATCCGGCAATATAGTTGAAGTTGAAGTTGAAGCTGTCCATGGAAAGAGGCCCCTTGCAAAGGGCCTGCGACTTCCTCGCTTTCACTTTTACTTTCTCTCCATGATATTCCTTCGTTTGAATGTTTTTCAATATGTGAGCAGTTGGTATATGTCCTTTGATACTATATCTAATAACCAGGGATGCGGACCCGTGGAAATTTCAAACGGCTCCGGCTCCGGCTCCGGCTCCGGAGAAAAAAATCGGCTCCGGCTCCGGCTCCGGGTGAAATGTTATGGCGGCTCCGGCTCCGGCTCCGGCTCCGAGTAAAATGGTCCGGCTCCGGCGGCTCCGGCTCCGACTCAGTACATCCCCTATGCAATCAATTAAATACGGGTGGAAGAAAAATTTGATTGGTTATACGCGTTACCTACTCTTGCCATGACCGGCTCACCGCGTCCCCGCGCAAACGCACCTCGGAGAGAACTGGCAGAACAAAGGACTAGGAAGCGATGGCATTGGAAACGCAGTCGCCGCGAATCGGAGTTCACTGAACCATCGTAGGCTGACACCCATCTCGGCTGCATTGGGGGGTGGGGGTGGGGGTGGGGGGTGGGGGGGGGGGAGACGGTGCTGGGAGTCGCAGTCCACTGCACTGGCTTCAAAACAATGGCCGTCACCTGATGACCGGTCCTCATGTTCTGGGGATGCAGTAGACGTGTGGGGGGGGGGGGAGGAGCAGACAGGAAGTTGATTGCGTACTGTGGGATACTGGGGATATTCGGCTTTTTCATTCACTTGATGGCCCATGACGTACTATTGGTCTCAAGATAAGGGCCCAGGCGACCTGTAGTTTTGATGCGGTGAATACCCTTACCCTCGCCACAACTCGGGCCGAGTGCACCCCTCCTCCCAGCCAGCGCCACCCCCACTCGCATTGTGGCGAGGGTGAGGGTATTCACCGCATCAAAACTACGGGTCACCTGGGCACTTATATTGAGACCAATAGTACGATATGTTTTACTGCCTTGTACTGTCAAACCGAACTAGGTCAATTATTTTTTCCTCTTCAAAAAATAAAAAGGAGCCGGAGTCGCCCCGTTTTTTGGCGGCTCCGGCTCCGGCTCCGGCTCCGGGCTATATTGTTTCACGGCTCCGGCTCCGGCTCCGACTCCGGGCAAAATATGCCGGCTCCGGCGGCTCCGGCTCCGACTCCGGCTCCGGCTCCGCATCCCTGCGTAATAACTAAGTTCAACAAATCACACTCACGTTTCTCTGGATTTTGATGGCTGCCTCGGCCTCGACCCGCAGTCTGCGCCTCTCGAGCTGCTGTTCGAAGCTCTCCCGCAGGAAGACCTTGGAGGTACCCAACTGGTACTCTGACTGCCACTCGGGACTGCCCTCGAGAATCATCTGGCAGACACAAAGACATATGACAGGATCATTTGGCAGACATAATCACATCGCAAGCATGAAGTCAAAAACTTGGAAACACTTGGAAACCTTAACTAGAAACCTATAATATCAGAAGAAAGACACTATGAAGAAGTGATAGAAAGCGATAGCAAAGCCATGTCAGAAAAGTTGCATAACGAGCTACATCATTTCTTTTCCCTATTACGGGCTTCTTCTTTTTCTTCCTCCTTTCCACTCCCCTACCCCCATCCCAATCGACTTTTCTTTTCGCATGGCCTAAGCCACACCCTTTATCAATTTTCTTCCAACCCCCCTTTCTACCCCTCAACATCAGCCCCTCGCCTCTCTCTCTCTCTCTCTCTCTCTCTCTCTCTCTCTCTTCTCTCTCTCTCTCTCTCTCTCTCTCTCTCTCTCTCTCTCCCTCCCTCTCCTCTCCCTCCCTCTCCCTCTCCCTCTCCCTCTCCCTCTCCCTCTCCCTCTCTCTCTCTCTCTCTCTTCTCTCTCTCTCTCTCTCTCTCTCTCTCTCTCTCTCTCTCTCTTACCCTGGCCAGGTCTCTCGCCGGTGTCCTCTCGCCACTCTCTCTGGCAGGAGAGAGCGATATCTCTCCACGAACTGCGCGAACCTCATCCGCACCGGATACCCATCTTCCTGATCGGATTGTATCCAACATTCCCGTGTAGCGGAGTTGCTCCAGGACCACGGGCATGTCGAACTTCATCGGGGCCTTCTCACAGTTGGGCTTGATGCAGCGGTGAACCACGGGTTACACCTGGAACGTAAGAGTTTGAGTTTGAGTTAGTGAGCAGGCGATTGGTTCCATTTTTACCGTGTTCTACCGTGAGCCTCTAAGGCATT